ACTCACTCATCACGAAATCTCAGAAACCATAAGACCTAGGAACCTGAAACTTGGCAGGCATCTTCCTTTTGGGTAGGAGACGCTCACTAAGAAAGGATTTTACCCTCCGACCTCTGGGCTCCGCCCCAGTGGCTCTGGAGTTTCCCATGTTAACCTTATGAGTACTCATATTTAAATGGAATTAATGAATCTTAACAGCTGTTTCAATTAAACAAGTTGGTTCTGTTCTGTTCAATAGCATTAAAGTTACAAGGATTACCAATTACCAACAGGGTGCAGCACTATTATTTCTTTTACATATTTATGACAACAGCTAAACACAGGGGCGGACTGGCCCGCCGGCCCACCGGCCGGTGGGCCGATACGCCTTCTCAACATTCCAATATTTGCGCCCTCGTTAAAGGAAAAATTCATAAAAATTTTTAAAAAATGAGTCGAGATGTGTTTTTAGAAATCAAGATGAAAAACTTAGAGTAAAAGTTTCAGCAGTGAATAGCAAAACATAAAGTCGGGTGTGAGACCTGAATAGACACTGTCGACAAGCGAGAGCAAAGCAGCTCTTCTCTCTCGTACGTGTAGGCCTACTCCGAGTTGAAGGCACTTTAACTCTGTGGTCTGAGGTACTTAAAAACAGCTGTCCTCTTCCCGCGTCATTTTACGCCGAACCCGAAAAAAAACTGCACTGCGACTGCATCCGACATCGGTCGGTGTCACGATGTCGTCTGTGGTAAACAACTAATGAAGATAATTGAATATTATTCATATTTGTTATAATATTTAATTATTGCTCACACTATAACTATTTCAGTTTAAGTCACATTTAATTTTTATCAATGTCAACTCAACTCTCTTGTAAAATGGCGTTTGCCGTGTATGTAATAAATAAATAAAGAGTGTGAGCTGCCAATTAAAATGTGTCTCTCTTTAGTGAGTGTCTGATTTGTGTCTCTGTGTCGAAAGCTTCAATTTATTTTTATATTATTTACCTACACAGGAAACATGAACGAAAGCAGTATTGTAGAATCACTACTTTTACAAAATTTAAATTAGATTTAGTGACAGTGTATTTGTTAACTTAACCATTACACAGTTAAGGTTAAACAGTAAACATTATTTTAATACCGTATGTGGCTACCGCCTATTAATTAATTATTTCAATATGCACTATGGCACTAATTTGGTCAACTTTCCTATTTTACTTACAGATAGCCAGCTCAAAATACCTTCATAGTTCTCTCCAGGCTATTTCGTTTGTAGAAATAGGTTAGGTAGGCACAGGCCCACTTTTATAAACGGGCAGACTGGGCATATGCCCAAGGGCGCCGGTGGTTGGGGGGCGCCCGAGGGGTGCAATGAATCACCGTCCGCACTAGGAAAAAATAGGTTTTATCAGCCAGGATTTCAAAAATAAAATGGGTGATTTCAACTTGTAGTTAAGTGATTTTCCCTTATTGCAAAAGTAAATAAATACAACAAAATTGAAAATACTCGACCTTCAGGTTATACCTCGTGTAGTCAGGAAAAGGCAGGCAGCTGTGTGAACCGGGCCACTCACTATACTGTCAGAGGCAGTGAGGCCTGCATGGTGGGAGAAAAATACATAGGTGTGCTATTCCCATCATATGCTGACGTCACTCAGATTGCAAACACCATTTTACCATTTAGAAAAATTGTAAAACAATAACAATCAAATCAAAACAAATATATACTTATATGGCAATACATCAGCTGATTTTTGTTTGCAATTTGGGTGACGTCAGCAAATTACGGGAATAGCATGTAGGGATGTAGGCCAGCTGTAGTCTACAGGCCTACGGTTGACGTGCCCCTCCTCTCCCTCTCAGTCCCACCCTCATCCACACAAGTCACAACTACCAACTACCGCGCGGCGCCAGTCCTCCAGTACAGTTAGTACTCCTCCCTAGCTCAGTAGTCAGTAGATTGTGTTCGTGTTGTGCCTGCTGCACAGTCGTCAAATCAGTCACAACACAACCTAAACTGTTACAGTCACTAGTCAGTGTTGACACTCACACTGCAGTTAGTGAACCAGTAATAAATAAATAGAGAAGTGTTGATACAAGTAAGTAGGCCTATAAACAGTGAAAAATGCATAAAAAAACCTAGTGCAGCCAAGAGCCGCATGCGGTTGGCTCAAAGAAAACAAACTCAAGAAGCAGTTTTAAAGAAAGTGAAATGTATTAACCAGTATTTCCACTGATACGGAATTGAAACAAAACTGGTAAAACAACACGCTCATGTATAAATATATATATATGCATAGGCCTATAGTAGAACCATGGATAAAACATACTCCCTTAGTAGAATCTTGTTCAATACGTGTGTAATGAACTGCACACTGTACTGTACTGAACAGTAATCAAATCACTGCGTAGTGCATTAAGCTAGTTCATTGCACTCACCCCAACCCCCAACCCACCTGTTGTCGTCAAAACCTTTATAGTTATATATATATAGGGGGGGGGGGCGTTGCTTTTGAGTTTGCCCAGGGCGCCACTGACCCTTAACGCGGCCCTGGGTAGGCCTACTTTAGGGTTACAGTTCTGACTTAATGTAATGCTAAAAAAGTTTAAGTCAATAAATTGGTTTTGTTCACAGTGAAAGCATATTGTTTGTGTTAAAATAATTTCATAGAAATCTAAAATATATAACTTCTGTTATTTACAGTGCCAAAAAATACAACAGTTGCAAGTTCAGGTTGTAAACAGGAAGCAAATGATTTATATTGTATGCATGCAGCCAAGTCATGCAAGGGAAAATAAAGAAAATACACAAATATAATACGAAAGAACCTAAGAAAATCATTTGTATTTTTATTTTTGTTAGGATATTTACTGTCAGAATAGCACCAAGTCGTGTGGGTAAATATTCTAAATTTTGTAAACCAAACATTGACCAATAGTGTCAGTTATCAGATTTCTGATTTTCCACTGTTAATGCCTCTAGATTGCCTAAAAATGCGAGTTTACAGGTATAATTTTTAAACAATTTCCCGGGGGAGGGCCCCCGGACCCCCCTCTTTACAGGGGGGTATTCCATACCCCCCAGACCCCCCGGTTGGCGCCTTCGGGCTGGTCAAGGTTTACGCCCTAATAGAGTACCCAGTCCGCCCCTGGCTAAACAGCTTCAACCTGGAGGCGTGTTAGCGTAGCGAACGAGCTAACCTGAAGGCAAGCGAGCGCAGCGAACGAGCTCCAACCTAAAGGTGAGTGAGCGTAGCGAACGAGCTCCAACCTAAAGGTGAGTGAGCGTAGCAAACGAACTTCAACCAGGACGTGATTGAGCCATGCGAACGAGATCATCTTGAAAATTAAGAAGTTAAACGGGGCAAAGCCCGCGGGTTACAGCTAGTCTGTCTAAATCTATTTCAAAGATTACACATTGTGTAATCTTTGCTTGAAAATCTAATGGAGTCTGTCTGTATGTTTATTACTAATTGGCGCATAAACTACTGAACTGGCAACCGACTGGTCTAAAATTTTACAAAAATATAGCTACTATACCAAGTATGGTAAATAATAGCATAGCATAGATAAAACATAGAGGAGTATGTTTTATCTATGGTAATACTGTAGGACTATTCACATTCGATTTGTGACCTTGGGTAGCCCCTTTGCCTTTTGCCCCTTTGGCTTTAAGAGGTGGTTCACGAGTCACGGTTTATCCTAATTCCGAGCGCAAAATCCAGTTATAACCACAGTTATATGCGCCACGGCTTAGAAATCGGGTTCACGAGAACGAGGTTATCCGCTTTTGGGCGCAGACAGATAAACTTCACCCAATTAGAGAAAACCCCTGGACAAAAATATAAACTTGTCGGATTCACGAGTCATGGTCTAGCGCAATCGGACGAAAATAACAATGGTTTTGGACTTGAACTAACTTAAACCTGCTGTGGGGGGGGGGGGGGCAGGGTTAAGTTGACATCATGTCGGGATTATCTTATTTGCTCGTTATTTATTGTTTTTTTGTTAGCAATTGATATATTTTCTATTCTTCCTTTTCCACAAAATCAGATTTTAAATAGATAAAGATAATGAGGTTATGTAACATATGACATAATTGTGGAGGCATCTATATCAACCGTAGTTGATCCGTTGATCCGCCGCCCGGTCGAGGTTTTTAAATATATACAATACATGTAACGAACTCGACGTACTGAAAAAAACTGGACCTCGCTGCTAATATAAGAAGTATACTATAGACATTGACAAATGACAATGAAATACATAATTTAGAATGACACATAATAAGCTACTTTGCCATTCAAGGAATCCTTTGTTTTCCATTTTGAAAATTCAATTGGGTAAGTGTTGTGTTCCATCTATGTTCCTAATAGTTAATTAAGATACTGATACTAGAGGGCACATGCTGCTCCCAATGTTGAAATAAATATCATATCCGAGAAATAATCAAAATTATGATTTTTGATTGAGTAATACAGTGTCTTGAACTTGACTCATTCAAACTATCAATAGCTCAAATGAAAGCCTATAATTTGCTGATTATTTGAGTCTAAAATATATATTTAAAAACAATTAATATTGAAGCTATTGATGTTTAATCATAGAAAAACCTTTAAAAAATGATTTTTATGTTGGTCGTTCACCTTGCGTTTGCTTGAAACTTGTTCAATTTTAATAACTAATAGCTTAAATGAAAGTCGGTATTTCACTGAAGGTTCTTAGACCAAAATATATGGGATTATATAATTATAACTGGTGAAATACATCTTAATCCAAAGTAAGAATTCAAAAATAAAACAAATATATGTTTTTTGGCTAAGTAATACAGTAGATAAATATATGCCGATGCTTGATGTGAAATCTGTGCTTGCATACCTTCAATTTGAGATATCAATCATGAAAATAAAAAATGGGTAGAAAAGCCAAACTCTGAAAAGAAAACCAACTTTTTTTAAACATATAAGATATGAAAAGGATAAATAAAGCTGGGTAACAAATACTCTTCAAATAGTTTGTTTACAAAATGATTTAATTGAAAAAATTGTTTCTCACTACCTTCTATAAATACTGAGAAATTAAAACTAAATAGTAAAAAGATCTATTTACTGACTTATGATGTGCTTGATCTAAAAATTGTGTTTAACTCTGACAATATTTGCTACGGTACACTAAACTAAAGATAAAACATTTTTTACACAAATTAATATAACTTTCAACTTACAATTGAGTGTTACCGGTATTTTAGAAGATAAAACACATTTGAACAAATTCAAGCTATACTCTGTTTGATGGAACCTGTATAAGGCCCGGGCTAGTCACTGGTTCCCAGGTAGACGGTGGGTCAGGAGACAGCTTCCATCATACAGACAGACTATAAGATAGTTGGTGAAAAAATAGTTATGATAATTGGAGATAGGCTAATATTACATAATGGTTTTATTCAGATTCTCAAATGTGGACTTCCTTTCCAAATAAAATAAAGATACAGACACACACAAAGCGGTTTGGAATGAACTAGGAAGATTTATTAAATTATCACCGAACAGTTATGAAACACAGAATATATCATTTGTTCATTAAGTAGACACTATAATAGTCATCTATTAGTCCATACTTTAATTTAATTTTTAATGGGGATGTTTGAAACCAAAATCTTCAAAAAAACTTGTTGAGTAGTTATCATTCCTTTTTTTTTAACATGATTTAAATAATTTTGTTGATTAAGTCTCAACTTTACACAGTGTTATCGCAATCACCAAAGACGAGCAAGATAAATGAAATCAAAAATCATTCAGCGTAGATGAACATGCTGAGGTCATTAGGGAGATTCTAAAATCAGTTTTAAATCAAGTCACAAAAATTCCTGGATACTATAAAGGTGTTGAGGAATTAAGAATCAGAATCAGCCCATCCCTAACAACACAGTAACACTATACTAAATTTGTCCGACATATAAGAAATTCTAAGTACAATGACATAAACTTACAAACTAACTATCTCTGTAATATAGACAAGGAACAATAAAAAACCTTTTCTTAAAAACTAAGATCCGAGAGATAATCTTATTCTTTAATCCTTATATACTATACAATAATGCAGACTTGAGTAAAATATATATACAAACAGTCATACAAGTAAATGGAACAGTGACTAAAAATCTAGAAACAAAACATTTCTAAAATAGGTATAATAAATAAATAAAGTTTTTTACATAAAATTTCTCTTTAAAATTTGTAATGAAATACACAAAGTTAATATATATATATACAAATATTCTAAAATTTTACAATTTTGAACACATATCACAAAACGTGAAGGCAATCTCAAATTTGTATTTACAAAATAAAAATAAAAATTTGTACAAACAATATGATAATCAGTACATATAATCGAGAAAACTTAGAAATTTAGCTTATAGATTAAAACCAGTGTTCAAAATTTTTATTCAAAACAATTTAAGTTTAGGAGAAGGAGTAGGCCTATTCAATGTTACAGTTAGTAATGATAACAATTCCTAATTATATAACACAGTATCCTTTCCTTATTCCTTATAAAAACCAGTACAAAAGACAAATGCGTCCCTTAATACAATAAAATCACAATAGTCTGAATTGTGTAGACTTTTTGCACACAGAGTTAAGTATTAAAACCATAATATATTGCTAGAGATTAAAATAGTTTTAAATTGTTCACAGTAACAATCATGAATTTAAAATATTTATAATTTTGAAGTATACGTAATTAACTACTATTTACTTACAGTTTAGAATGTTTTATAACATTTATTACCAAATATAGGACAAGGTAAAAGAGGAATCCAATTATTTTGATGATGTTAACTTAAAGCACACACAATTACATCCTGTTAATCAACGGAACATACAAATAAAGATGTGGTTTGTTTAAATACAGTAAACAAATAAACCATTTTTATAGGTACTTTAATTTGTTATTTCAGATCAAATATTTTTTGCCATGGAATAAACCATAATTCTTGTCAGTTGGGCAGTAACTAAATTTATCCATTGAACTGATTGATTAGTTAAGGTTTTAGAAAAATCACAGTAAAACTAACCAAGATTAACATAAATGTACAGTTAATTAATATTGATCCACTATTGACTGGAACTAGAAAAAAACGTAACCAAAAATATTTCAAAACCCAATTTTTACTTTTTCCAGTTGGTGCTAAGTTCAAGACAAGACTGTTGAAATATTTTACTAGATTGCTGAAAAAAACCCATAGGCTACAATATAGTTGTAAATTTTGTAACTGCTAAGGTGGGCAATGTCCAATGGATTCAATGTGAATACTAAGAGATATAAACATCTTTAGGTGTATTCTCTTTGTGATGAGATCTACTGATTATTCCATAGTATAGAATAGATTATCAGATTTTTAAATAGATTTAGAAAAAACTATTTTTAGTCTAACTATGAATTAATTTTTTTCTACACTAAACAAACACAAAATCCAATACTTACTTACCGAAGAGGAATTGTTATTTTTAAAGTGATAAAGTAACCATAATTGATCATAAATTTAATTGATCTTACTTAATATATATTTAGTTTAAGTATTTATGAAATCAAATTTCATAATTTATCTGTTGAGATTCAATTATACATCAACTCATGACCCATGTTCAGGAACATCAGAAAGGTTTAAGGGTGGCATTAATAAAATTATTTTCTATCAAAAATGTGATTAGGTAAATGGGATGAAAATCAATTATAGAATGGAATGGTTAATTAACTAAGCTTAGATTTCAACTGATATCCACTCTAGTTACGGGAGAATCACCCAAAAGCTTTCCATTTCCTATACAGCCTTGAACATGTTTCATAGTTTGTTTTCTTCCTCTTCTTGCTGGCGTTTAACAAAACCTAGATGACGTCTTCACAAGGGATCTCAGAGTAGAGTACGTTAGCAGCCGTACAAGAGAACAACTTAGCAAAGTCCTTTACTTGGGACAAAACCACGGACAACCTAAAAAAGTTTGACCAGTTAGTGAAAAAACAACTTGTTCAACATACCAAGGCAGCAACACAGTTATTGATGTGAAATCAGAAGATGTTCAAGATTTCACTGTGATATGGGAGGAGATCGTGTGCAATATTGCATAGCCCAATTGTAGGGTTACGATTTTCAACGCAACCCAATTTTGACCAAACTCGTCTCACTCCGAAATTAAAGTCTGCTAGAAATCTATATTTTAAAGTAACCCATAATCAGGGTTGTCACCCAATTTTCTCAGTTTGTGTGATAGTTTAGTAAAGTAATATTTTGTATTAGCATTAACTCAAACAAACCAATTAAATTGACATTTTCTCGATCGTCACACCATGCATTGACAATTAGCTTCCAAATGATCTCCATTTCTCTTTAATTTTTTTTTAAGATTTTCTACACAATTGAACTATATTATGTTTACACAATAACTTAACATGTAGATAAAACCATTAGAATGAAATTGAATGACCGTGTTTATTGAGTAAAAATCCACTCACATTGATTTATCATCCAGAATGTTGTCCACAGTTTCATCAAGATCTTTTTGTTCTGGCGAGGTTACTGAGCACACAGACTGAAACAAAATAAAAATAAAATAAAACTAATCATTTAAATTCTTAGAACTAATACACCGATCATTAAAAAAAACATTGACAAGAATAGGTGAGTCAGTGGCTCAGCCACTTAAATGTATTGGTTTACCCTTGTAGTATACAACAGGCTACCCTTGCTCTGTTGGATACGCTCCACTTACTGTATGAGGCCTATAAGGACGAGCAAATGTAAGGTTATGAGAGGCTGCCAACCTTTTTAAAAGAAACATTAATAAATAAAAGATAATAAGTAGAAAGTTAGAAAGTAAATTTTATATCTTTTAGTCACCTCAAGACAAAAAAATTAAAACTATCATAAGCTAGTAAAAAAATAAATGAATATAACACTTGCTACGTTTGTACAAGCTGAACAGCACTAGACGAAAGGTTGCCGCTTGTTCATATAGCTATGGTCAAAGTGGCACATAGGAATAAATGGCCGCCTGAACCATACAAAGTCCAAATTAATCTGATATAAAAGAGACAAAGTGTACTCTAGTTTTATGACCAGTACATTTAATGCCAGATTAGGATGGTAATTTATAGACTGTTTAGCCAAATTCCACTGACCTGGGCGAAGGTAATGAAGAAGAGATGACCGTCGTCATAACTTTCTAGAGCAGGTTGGTGTGTGTGAGGGAGATGAGCCAGGTGAGCTTGCATAGTCTGCACACAACAAACACAGATAAGCACACACACACACACAAGCAACACATCTTCACCACACATTGTGGAAACATTTAGAGCGAAAAAAGGCTTTGTAGTTATTCAAGTTTTGAGTTTGAATTCAGTTGATTTGATTTTGTTTGAGCCACTACAACTTAACTCCAAAGTGTCTAAACCTTACACACTGTCATATAAAAATCTGAAGTTTTTCGGGGAACTCCAAAGACCCTGACAAGCTACTTTTCCAGACGTGATCTATGTTTAAAATTACGTATATGCTACAGCTGCTAATTTGGTGACATTTACCTATGTCACAGTAAAAGATAAAATTACTAACACATTACAAAGAACATATCACTTTCAATAGTTGCAATACCTTGTTTTGTTAACATTTATTTAGCACATCACAGTCCTCAGTAAAATGAAATTGGGAGTGGTGCACGACGTCCAAGTGCCACGACGTCCAATAATATTTTTCCAGTGCCACGACGTCCAAAACATAATTTTTGAGTTGTTGCACGACGTCCAAGTGCCACGACGTCCAAAAGTACAGTAACTGCCAAAAATATAGTCTTTCTACAAGCTTTGGACGTCGTGGCACTTGGACGTCGTGAAACAGCGCACTATATAATTGTAAAGACGTATCATTTGCACCACGTCCAAAGCCTCTGCCAGTTGCACGACGTCCAAGTGCCACGACGTCCAATCAATATTTGACTGTTGCACGACGTCCAAGTGCCACGACGTCCAAAGTGCCTGCACACTGTGAACACTGTTTGCCGATCTCAGTGCATACAGTTCGCATTGCAATTATTGAAGGCAACTAGTCCTAGTCAACTGTTTGAAAGTTGTCAACCGCTTCGTCTTCGATTAATGTTTAAATTATTCAATATTTAATGGTTCTAATTGAACTAATTATTGCATTAGCTTAAATTTTTTATATGTAAAATAAATACTATGTCACCGTAAAATGTAATGATGCAGTATTTCGGTTGTTATGATTGCATAATTGATTTCTACAAAATAGAGCTATGTCATAGAAACGAAATAAATAAATGACTACCTACACTATTCACTATATTGTATGATTAATACAATAAATTAATCACTAGCCCAAAAGTAAATATGGTTGGTTTAATGTGAGTAGTGGTAGAATTCTAAGTACTGCAGTAGAATAGAATTGTCATACTATATCAATTGGTAGCGAATTGACTCGTAAGATAAAATGTATGCACAGTTTTATAACAGCTGTAAGACTTCCCATTTAAGTACCGGTATCATTGAAATTGTATAACTTCCATTGAACAGAAATGAGATAAGTAGATATTGATACACAGATATATGAATTTTCATACACTTATAATATGACGAATTCAAAAAAGTTTTATCCGTCAAATGTGCTAAATATTATGTAAACTATCAACTTTTTAAGCTATAGTGATGTTACTACAATAGTTAAAAATGTTTCCTGTGAAACAGTGGGAATAATTCGTTTTAAAAGAAATCATTCATCATGGATATAGGAAATAATTAAGATTCTATAATGATTGCCCTATCAACCTAGGCCCTTTTCCTGAGTGTTATGAGGTTTATGTTTTGATTTATTTTTGTGTAAACCGTAATATAATCCCCCTGCCACAGCAAATCTGTAGACTGAATTTCCATTTGCCTGATTATATCATTTCACTAAAATATGTTAGAAAATTACCCTTTTTCCATATTTATTTATATTTTCCTATTTTTCCTATTTGTCGGTATGGAACTATTGTGATAGCTTTTTGTTTACAGTGCAAACCATGGATGTATGGATGGATGGATGGATGTTTGTGACAAGCAAACGCGAAAAATACTAAACCGACAAGGTTGAAATTTGGTATGATGATAGATGACATCCCCGATTAACATATTCTTACCTCAAAAATTCTTTCAGTCTCCGCCCCGGTGGCTCTGGCTCTGGACTTTCTCTAGTTAACCTTATGAGAATTCATATTTAAAAAAATTAAAGAATTTTGTCAGCCGTTTCAACTGTACAAGTTGGTTCTATGATATTAAACAGCATTAAAAAGTTATAAGGCTTGCCAAACAGGGTGCAGCACTATTATGTTGTTTGTTTGCATTAATGACCACAGCTAATTTGAACCAACTAGCAAAGAAAAGGTGTGGTACACAATGAGAACTTTACTTTTTCCATGGTCTAGGTGCAAGAACATCAGGACTATGGTAGATGTGTGCTACACAATAGGATACCGTATAAATTAAGAGACCAGTTTTTTTTTTTTTTTTTTAATCGTGTCCTCTTCCATAACTGCAATAAGCATTTATACTTATATGTCAACCCCGTACGAAGGACGGGTACTCTGCTAGTAACACAATAATACAAATACAGTATACTAATACAATAATACTGTAGGTTTTCGTAGTCTGTGGCCATAGGTTCGTCTGAACTGTCAATTAATTCTGAGAAATTCACAGTTCTAAATTCTTACTAGTCTTTTTCTAAGTTCACGTCGCACTCGCAATTAGTTCGCATGTTTTATGTAGGAAAACAGGTATGCCCTAAGTCATAGCATTTGTAGGTTAAGTATAATAATAACAAACATGCTTATCGTAGGTTTGTAGGCATACTTGTTCAAGAATATGCCGTGGTAGGTTTTGTTTATAAATTTTATGTTTTAATTCTTGTCTAATGACGATATTGATATGATTAGTGCGAAAATGTTAATTTATTTGTCAAGGGCATGAGCGGCCCTCTAGTCTATGTATGTTACATGAAGCACAACATGAAAAAGAATAAATTAAAGGAAGGTAAAAAACGGATCAGTTGCTGAAGGTCTAAATCTCGGAAGGTCTAATCAGACCTTCGACACACATTTTGCAGTTTGTACTTGATGCTGAGGATCCCATGAATCCTGTACAAAATAAAAAAAATGTTTCATTCAAACTACAATTTTATTACTTTTCCGAGAACCAGCCTTTATCAGGACTTCCGCTCCCACGCTAGTTGGCAACGTCAACTGTGCTATATGAAAACAATAAATCTTGAGTAAATATACTGTAATGTCGAATTTTGAGGTTGTGGTGTTCCTTCGTAAACACATTCAATTATAATCTAGGAATATGTAAATTTATTGTTATACGTTAACTTTATTGATATTCGATTCGCTACAGTACTATTAAACCTATAACATTTTCAATTCATGTGCGTTGTATTTTAGAGTTGGGGAAACAAAAGAACCCTGTGTGCAACTTATTTATATGATACTAGCTGTGTGCCCGTTCTACGCACGGGGATCTTAAAGTAGTCAGTTGAAACCTTCTTATATTAAGAAAAGCAGTTGGTTTGCATATTTTCAGATATGCTGGCAAAACTATTATATATAAACCTTCGCAAATACAGTATCTGACAGTTTCAAGCCAAAACAAATCTATGAGGCATAGCCCTAAGGCCTATAGTTGAAAGTTACTTCCCACAATGGTTAAAGGCATTTAAAGTACTACCTCAACCTTACCATTTAACACTTTATTCGGGTTGACATTTTCATTATCAAGGTGCTCTTGTCCTTTTCGTGACACTGAGAAATAAGGACATAAATGCGTTACCAACAGACATACACACAAAAATACAGAACTTAATTAGGGAATTTGCTACGTTTTAAGCATAACAAAGTACATATAAAATTAGAATTTGAAATCTTTGTCAATGTCATCAAATTTTATCATAACAATTTATATTTGCTTGGACCGAAGATGACCCGAAATGCTGTCGAAATGACGGCTTACTTTATAAAATGAAGTACTATAGACAATTTAGATTGGTAATGGTAATTTAACCTATAATACAAATTACCAAAATAGGCCACGAACTATTGATACATAAACAACGTAAATCGTAAACAATTCATGATGGTTTGCTAATCAAATGTTTTTCTTAAATGGGTTATCATTTTCTTAGCATAAACTAACATTTTGGAATCCAGACAGAAAAAGCAAAACTTATTCAGTTAAGACATCAATTAAATTGAATAAGGCTGTAATACCACTGTATAAATAAGGTGCAACACCAACGATAACTAATTTGTAAATTACAGTGATGTGTTGGTACGTAAAAATGATTCTTGCTGCTACCAACGGTTCTAAGGAAAAAAAAACCAGTACCAAAAACCAACGTTTACAGTTAAGAATTACGTCCGACAAATTAAATGCGTTAATCAAGTCCCAAGGTTATTGATTTCTTGGTTTTGGATTTTCTCGTGAAAAGTTATCGGCAATCAAAATTATTTCCCATTAATTGCTTTATTCGTAAACAACTTTTAATGTAAACTTATTCAGTTTGAAAAACAAAAACAACCTTATAAAAACAACTGTTTGTTATTTTTTAATAGATTACGCAGGCCTATTCTCTAAACAATGATTGGTATTTCTTTTAACATTAGAATGAAATGTAACAAAAATCACGCAATGCTGGGTTTTTGGACGTTTGTAATTTTATTTCTTAAGTAGGGAGGCCGTGTATTCTAGGGAAAAGTACCGGTAACAAGGATCGTCGTCGAAAAGGTTGTTATGAATAATTGGGTAGGCGTAAGTACCCAAGAGATGGGCTATGGGTCTATTGGCTGTATGGCCCAGCGATTGCATCATACGGTGAGTAGGAACAGAAAGTGACACATTGGAAAAGCGAGTTTAGCATCATCCATAAACCGTAAACCTCTGTTACAATCACCCACTGCAGTTGTGATTTTTTACTTTACACTTTACACAACCACCATTGAAGCGCCGTCAATGAGTTAGTAAGGTATTGGCGACGATCATTAATAAATTCAAGTTTCCCAGCCCTATGCAACACTGATTCAAGGTTATCAAAACTCAAGAACAATTTTATACACAAAGAATCTCTGGTTCCTAACCTGGATGATGTTATTAAATTTCATTTACGGTTACACTATATTATTCCACTTGCGATTAATTAAATCCGTTATGCAAGACAACGATTTTAATCTCAC